ATATATATATATATATTAAACAATACTTTGACATCATTTTAATCATATATTTTTAATAAAATAACATTACATGTATTTTCATAATGTTTCCTTATTTTCTAATCACATATTTTCATCAGTAAACTATTCAAAAATGTATTTTCCCTTCAAAATGGGACTCAAACAGGGGCTTAATTTTAATTTATCTCAATTATATCATTAAAATTATTGCAGCGCATGTTCAAATTTTAATCTAAGTGAAAGCTAATAATTAATTTTTATCATATATTTCATGAGATCCATAATTTTTTAATTATACAATTCATCGACTTTTATCAAAATTTGCTAAAAATATAATTATAATCCCTACCAAATAAGGGCTTAAATTCAATTTTCACGGACAACTCTATCACTCTTCACCCCCCAAACTAGCAAAACGCACTTAGTGAGTACTCATACCATGGTAAATCCTTCACATAATCAATATATGACATCTCAACGCACCATTGAGCCATAACAGAATAGTGATAAAATAAAAAGAAGCATGTCTAAGTAATGAATTGTCATAATCCTCTTATTACACTCCTCGATTCTAGGGTGCCAGACGATAATGACGTGGAAAATCCATTAAAATATGATTGCCAACTTTGCAATTTTCATTAATCATTATTTGATTTATATAAAATTTGATAAAATCTATTGTTGAAAAACTTTGGATTTTACAAAATATGTTAGAATTAATTATTGATTTGACTTAAATTTCAATAAATATTTTTTAGTTTATTCAAATACATGATTATGAGAATTAATTTTTTAACCGTTAACTAGAAATGTGGGTCCCACTTGTGAGTGAAGAGATAAAAATAACTAATTATGATAAGTAACGATCAAAAAATTAATTTTTTGACTTGAAAAATCAGAACAAAACGGATATAAAAACGATGAAATCAATGACTCAATTGAGACAATATACTAATTTAATGAGCCAATTGTGGATTGCTGAAACCGATGAACTTTGCCATATTTTATTCTATTGTACCAAATATTAATTAAAATATATAGGAACCGGGTTCATCTATATAAAGTCTCAACGCTTATCCTCCGCCACCCGCCCTCCGCCCCAAAACCACACCCCTCGCATAATCCCTCTTCAAGAAGAAATATCTCCGGCCCTCCTTTCCCTCTCACGCAAGTAAACATACAAATTCGTTGTCCAAAAAAAGAGACCAAAATGAATAGAAACATAAATAAATACATATGTATATGTCATTGAGTAGTTTTTCCACACATACACGCAGAGAGACATAGTCTTCTCTGAAAGTTGCTCTCTTTGAACCCATTTTTCAGCGGAATTTTCTTCTCTGAAAGAGTGATTCTTGCAAATTTCTCATTATTGGGTTGCACAAAAAAGCTGTACAGTTATTAGTAAATTGAGGGGAAAAAAATGGGAGAAAGGAGGCTCTTGAGTTGCCTAATTTTTTTGGTTCTGAATATTGTATGTGAAGGCAAAGGGATGCACAGAAATGCTTATGCTACCATGATGTATATGGGGACTCCAAGAGACTATGAATTCTACATAGCGACACGTGTCATGCTCAGATCTCTCGTGAAGCTTAAGGTTAATGCTGATCTTGTCGTCATTGCCTCCATGGATGTACCCGACCAATGGGTACAAGCTCTGTAAGTATTTTATATTTCTCCCTCTAGTTGTTTCTCTATTTATTGAGTCAAGATCTGCTGTTGCCGTTTGGCTTGCCACACAGTAAGAAAAATATTTGGTCTGAAAAAGTGAGTTTTGCGTGTGTGATTTTGGGGTGGAGAAGCGGAGAGAAGCACTTCATTAGAATATGCTTTGGCTTTTCTTGTCCCAAAGAGAAATTGATGAAAAAAATAATCAAAATTTATCTTTGTGAATAGATTGGATTAACCAATGGATGAATGCAACGCAATTTGGTTAATATGAAAAAGGGTCCCACTTTGTGCACAATATTGACATGTTTCTCTTTTTTATTTTCACTTGTTTGTGTTAGATGGTCTTATTCTAAAAAATAAATCGTTTTCGTCTCTCCGACGAAAATTATCACAATTACATGATATTAAAGGGGCGTTTATTTCCCATTTTTATAAGAACGAGAATGAAAAATATAATCGTTATGGGTCCCACACAAGAGATAGAAATTCAAATTTGATGGCTTGATGTGATGGATAATGATCATATTTTTCATTTTAATGAGGAAAGAATGGGAAATAACCAGGGCTTAGTTAAACGACAGATTAGACAAAATTATTCTAAGACTCAAGTGGAAACTTAGGAGGAAAATTCCAGCACCCTTCCAGTCAAAAAAGTATTACCTTTCTGCCAATTGGCATAAGATAAGGTCAAGATTGTTATCTGACTATACCATTTGGACCTTAACATATACACACAGCTTTTTATTATTGGAGAACAATTCTGGATAAGAATTTTATTATTTTTGAAAACCCACGTCTCTATTATTTCTCTTTTTAGCAAACTCGGCCTTTGCTTGAACTCGTAGTTAGAAATTTTATTTCGTTGTTTCTTTAAAAATAAAAAATAAAAAATAAAAAATAAAATGTTTCAGGGGGACGTGACTTGCGAGATCATCCTCTTTAACAAAATAAATTTTATGTGATTTAATAATTGATATTCTATTGAGGATAATTTGAAGAATCTTATAAGACAATTGATGTGTTGTCACTATTTCATAGATCACTCTTCAATTAACTATTGCCAGCATATAAGCTGTCACTTTGTCAACTCTTATTTTTTATTGCAATGATCTTTTGCGTCTTCAGATTGTGGGAATTTTTTTATTATTTCTTTGAATAAATTACAAAAAAATTTAGGACGTGAAGAAAAATGCTCTTACAAGAAAAGGGTTATTCTTTTCTTTGTCGAGGTATAAATCATTTGATTATTGAAAAGGACTCGTTGAAATTGATTTAACTATATGAGCTAAAAGATTAAAAATGGAAAAATGTCTTGTATCACTACTTTGTGGAACGACACGGTCTAGTTATCCATAGCACAAAGAAGCGAACAGCTAGTTAATTGAGAAGATGAGATCAGATTATGTTTTTATATTCAGTTTTAAACACGTCCCTTCATGTGCACGTCGAATTCATTATTCAACAAGGCCTTGGACGTGTGCAATATTCATAAATGGGCTTTAGAGATTTGAATCCGGATATTATGTTGACGCAAAAGGTTAAACTAGTAGAGAGGAGACATGTTTATTTCTTTAAAATCTGTTTTTTCAATGATGGATCGATGATCGAAGCTTATTTTCTTAGTGAATAGTGTACATCAGGATCTGTATCTCTAACATCAAGCTTTAGAATTCTGAAATCAATAAGAGAAAATGTATTAATGAGTTTTCATTTTCGTGGTCCAGTGGACAGGAAGATGGTGCACAGGTCATGAGAGTCGAAAATCTAAAGAATCCATATCGAAGTCAGGCGAGATTCAAGCTAACACTGAACAAACTTTATGCTTGGAAACTAGTGGAATACGACAGGGTGGTAATGCTCGATGCCGATAACCTCTTCCTCGGAAACACAGATGAGTTGTTCCAATGTGGCCAATTTTGTGCAGTGTTCATCAATCCTTGCATCTTCCACACTGGTCTCTTTGTATTGCAGGTAAAAACTAGCTACAAATATGTATTTTCCCCTCATTGTTTTTTTTTCTTTTTGTAATATTTCTTAATCAAAATCAGGCAATATGTTTAATAATCATCGAGATAAAAGGTTCGTACAAGTTCATTAAGGCCCTCTCTATTTTCTTCAAAATCCTTATGAATCTAAAATTGCAGCCTTCAAAAGCAGTATTCGATGACATGATTCACGAACTGGAGATCGGGAGAAGTAAGAAACTTAGGAGGAAAATTCCAGCACCCTTCCAGTCAAAAAAGTATTACCTTTCTGCCAATTGGCATAAGATAAGGTCAAGATTGTTATCTGACTATACCATTTGGACCTTAACATATACACACAGCTTTTTATTATTGGAGAACAATTCTGGATAAGAATTTTATTATTTTTGAAAACCCACGTCTCTATTATTTCTCTTTTTAGCAAACTCGGCCTTTGCTTGAACTCGTAGTTAGAAATTTTATTTCGTTGTTTCTTTAAAAATAAAAAATAAAAAATAAAAAATAAAATGTTTCAGGGGGACGTGACTTGCGAGATCATCCTCTTTAACAAAATAAATTTTATGTGATTTAATAATTGATATTCTATTGAGGATAATTTGAAGAATCTTATAAGACAATTGATGTGTTGTCACTATTTCATAGATCACTCTTCAATTAACTATTGCCAGCATATAAGCTGTCACTTTGTCAACTCTTATTTTTTATTGCAATGATCTTTTGCGTCTTCAGATTGTGGGAATTTTTTTATTATTTCTTTGAATAAATTACAAAAAAATTTAGGACGTGAAGAAAAATGCTCTTACAAGAAAAGGGTTATTCTTTTCTTTGTCGAGGTATAAATCATTTGATTATTGAAAAGGACTCGTTGAAATTGATTTAACTATATGAGCTAAAAGATTAAAAATGGAAAAATGTCTTGTATCACTACTTTGTGGAACGACACGGTCTAGTTATCCATAGCACAAAGAAGCGAACAGCTAGTTAATTGAGAAGATGAGATCAGATTATGTTTTTATATTCAGTTTTAAACACGTCCCTTCATGTGCACGTCGAATTCATTATTCAACAAGGCCTTGGACGTGTGCAATATTCATAAATGGGCTTTAGAGATTTGAATCCGGATATTATGTTGACGCAAAAGGTTAAACTAGTAGAGAGGAGACATGTTTATTTCTTTAAAATCTGTTTTTTCAATGATGGATCGATGATCGAAGCTTATTTTCTTAGTGAATAGTGTACATCAGGATCTGTATCTCTAACATCAAGCTTTAGAATTCTGAAATCAATAAGAGAAAATGTATTAATGAGTTTTCATTTTCGTGGTCCAGTGGACAGGAAGATGGTGCACAGGTCATGAGAGTCGAAAATCTAAAGAATCCATATCGAAGTCAGGCGAGATTCAAGCTAACACTGAACAAACTTTATGCTTGGAAACTAGTGGAATACGACAGGGTGGTAATGCTCGATGCCGATAACCTCTTCCTCGGAAACACAGATGAGTTGTTCCAATGTGGCCAATTTTGTGCAGTGTTCATCAATCCTTGCATCTTCCACACTGGTCTCTTTGTATTGCAGGTAAAAACTAGCTACAAATATGTATTTTCCCCTCATTGTTTTTTTTCTTTTTGTAATATTTCTTAATCAAAACCAGGCAATATGTTTAATAATCATCGAGATAAAAAGTTCATTAAGGCCCTCTCTATTTTCTTCAAAATCCTTATGAATATAAAATTGCAGCCTTCAAAAGCAGTATTCGATGACATGATTCACGAACTGGAGATCGGAAGAAGTAACCCTGATGGTGCGGACCAGGGTTTTATCGGAAGCTACTTCCCTGATTTACTTGATCAACCAATGTTTCATCCTCCTTCAAATGGTACAAAGCTTGATGGCAACTATAGACTTCCTTTAGGCTATCAAATGGATGCTTCTTACTATTGTAAGCAAATAACAACTCTGATGTTTCAGAAAATTACATTCCTATCTTCTTATATCACTAAATTACATTATTATTTGGCTCTAGATCTCAGACTAAGGTGGAGTGTACCCTGCGGACCAAACAGCGTTATCACTTTCCCGGGTGCCCCGTGGTTAAAACCATGGTATTGGTGGTCGTGGCCCGTCCTCCCACTCGGCATCCAGTGGCATGAGCAACGGCGTCAAACACTTGGGTAAAGTTCTTGAGCCAAATTTTTATGAGTTCTTATATCAACCTTATTTTCATCTCTTTTCATGATCGTTACTCTTCATTCCTACTTCTCAAGTGTCGAGCAATCTGAGACTCGCTTTTTGGCAGGTATAATGCAGAGATGCCACTTGTATTAATCGAAGCTGTATTTTATCTAGGAATAATGGCTGTGGCACGTCTAGCACGGCCCAACTTATCCAAATTATGCTATCGCCGAGAAGAGAAAAGCATTTTCTTCATACAGTCTGGCTTCAAATTGATAGCTATATGGTCCGTTCTTTCTGCCTACATAGCCCCATTCTTTCTCATTCCCCACACTGTTCATCCACTCATAGGGTGGAGTCTCTACTTGCTGGGTGCCTTATCGCTTTCAAGCATAGCAATTAGTACTTTTCTTCTACCAATTCTGCCCGTTTTAACGCCAAGTTTAGGAATCTTTGGGGCCCTTTTGGTAATGGCTTGTCCTTGGTACTCGAATGGCGTTATTCGGGCACTTGCTACTTTTGCCTACGCATTCTGCTGTTCGCCTGTTCTGTGGATGGCATTTGCTAAAATTATGTCATGCCTTCAAGTCTCACATGAAAGGGAAGCATTCTTGCCTAGATTGAGCGAAATTTCGTTGCCCTCGGGTTTCAACAAGTTGTACTGAGAATCAACCCCTATTCATTGTATGATCTGTGGAGCAAAAATCCTTATCTTGTGGCTGCATGGGTTCCAGGATGAGATTTATAGCCATTTAGTGCCAGACATCTTAAATCCATGGTTTGCATTTTTACATAGAAGCAGAAGGGATTAGTTCACCGTGTCAATTACTGAACGTAGAATTTATTCAGTTGTAATTGATCGATTGATTCTCATCATTGAAATTCTTAACGTAAAGAGCTCTCAACTCTCGCCTTACGAAATACAAATATGTTTCTTGACTCGATGCATTACCATTACTGTAACTTCAAAAGAGTCGAAAAAGCGTACATCCCTCGGGAATTGTGTAATGTATTTCAAATATGCTACTTGTATATAATGCGGTGTCCATCTAAATGTCAATCCCCCTCACATAGAGTGTGACCCACTTCGAATAAATTATATTTCATATTAGAGCCAATAAAAATAATATGAAGAGGAAGGGATTTAGCCTTTATATGGGAAATTATCAAGCCGTCTCATTACGACTTAAAATCTAATTAGTGTTTACATATATTTTCGGCCCACACACCTAAATTACCACAAAGTATATAAAATATAACCCGTAAGGTATAAAACGGTCCAATTTATCACATAATATATTTGGCTCAATCATAATATCATTATAAACGATACATCCAACCTGGAAAATTTGCAATAAAATGGAAAGCCCATATTTAGAATTGTTCCAACAAATTATCCTCCATGTGATGGGATTGGACACCAGAATGGACACATTGCTATGCATGTAAAATCACCCGTTTCAAATCAATTTTTTCTGACACGAATTGAACAAAAGTAAAGTACTCAATTTGGTTAATTGGTTAATTTTACTTTTTCCTAAAATTAATAAAATAAAGCTATTAAATGATTTGTCAATTTGTAAAGTCTCCAATTCCCTTAATTAGAAGTACTGGTCTATATTGAAAATCAATGTTTTTCAACTTGTCAACTTCCTACATCTTTATGAAAATTGAGAACAAGTATAAATTCATTTAGAAAGAAAGTCTCAAAAAGTCTCAAACAATTACACAGACCATAGTAGTATCAAGGATAACCCCTCGAATCAAGCCAAAGAAAAGGAGGATGATTCTTAGACTTAAATCAAGGCTAATATTAGAATGTAACTGTTAGGAAATTGCAACGACAAAATTAGTCTAGTTGCTTAAAATAGACTCGGTACGATGTATATAAATATTGTATTATCTTGTAAACAATAAGTGTGGAAAAATCTCATTGACTTGAGCAATACAGAAATTAAGTCTACCATACAATTTTTATCATGGTATTAGAGCAGTCAAGCTCTAACAAGCAATTGATCCCCTCCCCAAAATTGTTCTCTCCCATGCCATCAACATCCCTGACTCCTTCCCGATTACAACCGCTCTCTCCAATTGATAAATCCTTGATTGCCCTCAACATTTCTTTTTAGGTTAATGAGAAGCTAACACCCCTAGTCTTTCCAAAATGGCGTGCCCACATTGAAGCCCTTCTCATTGACTATGATCTCCTGGACTACGTCACTAGAGACCACCTATGCCCCGTCCTTACTCCCAGCTCTCCAACAGACCCATAGGTTCGTCAAAATAAGCTCATCCTTAATACTATTTGGCCTTCACTACTACAACCATCACCCTCCGTCACTGCCACCAAAACATTCTAGGATGCATGAAAAAAATTAAACATCAAGAATGCAAGTAAGTTGCGAACCCGAGCAATGCAACTAAAGGAGGAGGTTACCTTGATTCAGTTGGGCAATTGTTTCATGCCGATTATTTGTACATGGTGAAAATTTCTTGAAGATGAGATTGCCCTCATCAATCATCCCAATCTAATGATGATCTCACCCTTTACATTCTTCATGGTCTACGTCTCGACTTCCGTGCGATTGTCGTCCCTATTTGTGCTCAAGAGAACTCATGGACCTTCAAGGACCTCTACAATTTCCTCGTTGACCATGAAAGCTACTTGCGTCGCCTCAAGGTCATCGCCTAGTAGCTAGTTGCCACAGCCAATTCCATCCATCGCCACTCTATTTTGCATAACGCAACTGGAAGCCCCCAGCAACGTGGGTCTTATAAGGGCAATGGACCCTGATGGTCTTCAAGCCCACCTCATCCCAACAATGACCTAAATCATGACCATAGGAGGCCCTGGAAACTCTATAAGCCGGTTTAATTAAAGCCACACTGTTATTAACCCAAGAAATAGTTTTGTGATCAACTGGCTCATACTGTAAAAAGTTGTCTGTGGTCGCATTCTTCTAATGTTACCGTGAATTGTGCCTTCACCTCTTGCACCAAAGACAATGAATGGCTCATTGATTCTGCGGCATCTCACAAAGTTAATGGTAATTTGACAAACTTGTGCACCTACTCTGAGTGTGATGGGACATGTGAGGTAGCAATTGGTAACGAATCAAGTTTGCTTGTCTTCTATGATGGTTCTTTAGTATTTCAAACGTCCATTTGTACCTTCCATCTGGATCAAACACTTTGTGCTCCTAAAATCAGCAAAAATTTGATCTTTGTCCATCATTTTACATCTCAAAATAATGTTTTTATTGAATTTCACCCCACTTATTTCCCTGTGAAAGATCAGATCACAACGCGATAATGCTTAGAGGTATATGTGAAAAAGGTTTGTACACACTCCCAAAGTCATTGGTGGATTCATCAAAATGGTTGCAAATATACATGAGCGAACCTCGATTGAGAGATGGCACAAGCGTCTCGGACATCCACCTTTCAAAACTGCCCAAAATTTAGTTAATTTTTTTTCACTTCCAGTAAGAAAAGAGCGATTGTCTCATCTATGTACTTCTTGTTCAGGCAATAAAGTGCATAAACAACCATTTCGTTCCACTAGTCTTCAAAGTCATGCTCCCCTTGACCTTATTTATACTTCTATTGGTCTTGATGGTTTACGATATTATTTGATTTTGGTTGATAATTTTACCAAAAATTTAGGGTTCTATCCTATGGCTACCAAATTTAGTGTTCCTAGTATCTTTCCAAAATTCAAACACCTTGTTGAAAATAGATTTCAAACCAAAATCACAAGTCTTTGCTTTGATAATGGTGGTGAATCCTTGCCTGAAAATAATAACTTTCAATTCATGGAATTAGTCACTAAACCACTGCACCCTATTCACAACGGCAAAATAAGGTCCCTGAACGTCATCATTGTCACTTGGTGGAAACAGATCTCACCCTACTGCATGATGCATCCTTGCCCCTCTCTTATTAGCCGCATGCCTTCCATATTGCCACCTATCCATAAACCGTCAACCTACACCTTTGTTATGGAACAAATCCCCATTTTGCAAGCTTCTTAACTATCTCAAATTACAAAGTTTTGGTTTCCATTGCTTTCTACTCACCAGGCCTTGCTACAACATAAGCTTCAGCACAAATCTGTTTACTGCTTATTCCTTAGCTATCCTTAACTTAAACCCCAAAATGCATATAAATGTCTACATCTATTTGATGAGAGACTAAGCCCGATCCAGTCACAAACCACAAAGAGAAAGGGCCATCCTTTTATTCGGGTTATTTAGGCTATTTCTCATGCATCACAGCGATCTCCATCGACAATGGTTTCGAACTATGTTGTTGCTGCTTCCACATCAACTCCATGTAACTCTCATGTGCCATCTGATCCTTCTTTGGGACAATCTACCTTTATCCTCTATTGACTTATTACCCAGCGCTACCGTGAGGTCATCTCGTTAGATGTTACACCCATACTACCTTCTACCGTGCCCATCCCACCAGTAGCTCCCACTTTTGTCCAAGAAAAAGCCATCCCCTATCCCACCACATAGAACCCACCTGATGATTACTTATCTCCAAACCACATATACAAACTTAAATAATTTTATTCAGACACAAAATATCCTATCCAACACACCATTGATCCAAATTGTGTGTGTCAAGCACTCTGTGATACCTAGTGGCATACTCAATGACCTAGGTAACATTACAAAGAGACATTTAGTCTTTTTGTGCGACCTGCCACAATTAAAACTGTTTTGAAAATTGCTGTTGCAAGAATAGTTATTTAAGACAGCTTGATGTGGACAATATTTTTTTTCATGTGAGTTGATTGAGAATGTGTATATGGTTCAGCCTCCAGGGTTTAAGGATATGTCCAATTCTGATCATTTTTACAGATTGCACAAGGCCATTTATGATCTCAATCAGCCCCTCGAGCGTGGTACTTTTCATTGAAACATACCCTGATCGAGCTTGGTTTTTAAAATTCAAAGGCAGATTCATCCTTGTTTATCTATTAAAATAGTTCTATTATATTGTATTTTCTAGATTATTTCCACAAGGACTATTATCACTACAAGAATTTTATGTTTTCCATACAAGATATATTCGTAGGGAAAGGTTCTTATTTGTGGGAAGAAACTTTTGCGGAAGAAAAAATTTTGGAGGAAAATTTTTAGAGCAAATATCAAGGGGATAAGTAAAAGACAACAATTTTCGATATTTGTGTGTAAAGTTTTCCCTACAAACCCTTTGGAGACGTATACAATACGTAGCGTATATTCCCCCCCCCCCCACTTCCCCGACAAAATCATTTGACTCCTAAAGTCACTTTTGGCTGACAAAATAGTTTACTTTTTGCTACAAATTATATTGTGGGATAAATCGTGCTTTTCCCCACAAATAAATTTTTGTGCGAAAATAATATTTGTGGGCTAAGATATACATATTTTTTTTCTAGCAATTAAAAATGTATGACAACATGTTACAAATTATTTTGAGGGCTAAACTTTGTTTTTTCTCTACAAATAATTTTTTGTGGAAAAGAATTTTTGTAGGCTATTATTTGCCTAAACAATGAAAGAATTCATAGGAAGGAATGAAATTATTTTCACATATTTTTTTTAACCTTATTCAAAATAATATAAAGATTCAAAAAGATATTAAATTTACTAAGACATTTAGTGTCAATCAATGTAATATTTAATCCAAAATATTGTACCAAAATGCAAATAAAAATCATTCATTGAGTATGATTACGTCTAAACTTAAAAAGAATATAACAAACATGCTCTATATCCATTATTGTACACCTAAAAAACCATAATCCTTATTAATTAGATATACAGCCTATCTTCAAAAATTCCAATTATGAGCTCTCATTTTCGATGAAGATAATACCCAACCAGTTCTCCAAAAATAAAACCTTCTGGGTACACAAAATTTTTTTTCAATTATTACACCAC